CTTGGCATTTTAGGAAGGACCTGTTTCCTCTTCTAGAACCCTTTCTAAAGTCTAGTAAGCTCAACAGGGTAGCGAAGATCTGCTTCACAGGAGTCCTGCCAAGAAGACTCATTCCACGCTCATCGTAGGGCAGTAAAGGCTGACAGAGGTTGTTAACATCGCTGTTAAAATGCAAGCCCCCTTTCAGATCTCTAATGCATTCATGTCCAGATTAACAATACCAGAGCTGATGAGGCTATCAATATTATTATTAGTGCTCATTTATATATACAGTTGTGGCTTTGAAGTTCCCAGAACTTTTGGTGTTGATAAAAGTGCATGCCAGATTTTCAGATTCAAACAACATTTTTAGTGTCTTACTATTCCAAATCGCGTATCACTGTATGAATGTGTTTGCCCTTGTGGGGGGAATTTGGGCCATTACACTGAGATGGGAGTTTGCTGTTAACTAAGAATCGGTAATGACTTACTATGATTTAGATGGGGAAGCGTCACTGTTGGCTGATTCTAGCAAAGCAGAGCCCTTTGGGCTCAGTTGTTGCTCTTAAGTTGAAAATACATATTTACAGTATTTTATGTAGACTATCCAAGTTTTTTGTAGCATTTGTTTTTTGCAGCGTTTGCCCTTCATGAAGTAGTAATTCCAAGTATATACCTAAATGCCTGGCAAAGCATTTGAATGGATTGCATCAGCCATTGTGGAAGATTTCCCATTTTAGACCAGGAGGAATTTGTAGGGTCAAACGCTAAACAATGAAAGAGATTCTTGCTCATTGAGAGGCCAGCTGAATCCAGTGGCAGTTTAGTTTGAATTGTAAATCAAACCTGTCATCTCCTTGTCGACTACGAAAAACCTCTACTCGCTTTATACACCATTAGGGTTTGTTATTAGGGTTTTGTATTGTTTTCCAAAACTCTGAAGGGAGATTAGACTCTTGAGGCATTTGTTCTAAGTGAACATTGAAGCTAAACTTTGGAAAAGGAGGAACAAAAAATGATACTATTTGTAAAGAAACTCTTAAATGATTAGACAGCTCCCTCCACAATTATTACTGTATTTAACCAAAGTTATGGGGTCACTGGGTGTTACTCAGAGGGCCCTCTCTGGGTGCCATAAACAGTCCACACATGGTTAATAGACTGGACTCCAGCGGTTTCAGCATCTATGACAATATTAACAGACTGAATTCATAATGAATTAATACATTTACATGTGAAATTTAATGAAAACTAGACTGTTGTTTTCACCAAAAGCAACTTTGACTTTTTTCCATTAAACCTGGTGAGATTTCTTCTCTGGTCATAACTGGGAACAGGTGGAATTATTGGCTTGCACAAACTCTTGCCTTGCTGAAAACTTGGCTGTGGGCCGAAAAGTTTGAGGACCACTGCCTTAGGAGTAGGAAAAAAGCAAGCTGTTTGAGACGGTTTATTGTGGTGATTCAGGATTCATTATCCATCCCACAAATATTTATTGAACGCCTACTATGGCAGCTCTGTGCAATGCAGCCTGGGGTATGGCGGTTGCCAAGCAAAACCTGGTTCATTAAAACATCCCAGCTAGTAAAACAACTGAATGGGAAATGAGAAGATGAGGCCTGACCTCTGAGGACCAAATGCAGAACAGCCTGGCTAAAATCATGTCTGAGTAATTTGCCCCCCATGTGATGGATGATAAAAGGATATACACAGGGCTTTAGTAGAAGTCTGCTTGAGAGAATAATTATTACAATATGTGCTAGAAAAGAACCATAATAATAGACCATAAAAAGAGATCATGGCTCTTGACTAATACATCAGACCAGATCATACTGGTTGATAAAAGTAATGAAGCCTGTGTGGTAGAGTGGTACTATTTAGTAAAACTATCTCCAACACCCACACAGGAGGAATGAGCAAGGGTGTGCTGTTTATAGAGGGCTAAATGTGGGAACGCAGAGCATCAAAATAAAGCAGTTGAGGTTCACACACATATATACACCCACTCAGACCTTATTCATCACTTAAAACGTATTTTATTTTAGCAACTGCCATTTTACCTTAGGCCACTTATTCCAATAGTATGTTGCCAAAACATTTGGTCCGTGGGATTCATAGCATACAATAAATTGATACAGATTCATATATGTTTTAATAATAAAATAGTACAATGACTGGTAACTCAGTTGAACATAATGAACTGAACTCTAAACTATTTGTAGGCAGACTCAGTAGTTGTCTAATTGATCCTATTCCTCTAAGTGTGGCGTCCAGACTTTGAAGGCTCAATAAGTGTAAGTCTATATGACTGAAAATTTTTTTTCTGACTGAACGTTGTTCAGTCTCCTATCACTAGCATCATATAATTCCATGATATTTGCTGCAGTTCGTATGCAAATTACAACCAATAATTAAGATAAGGTAGCTCATGTTGATGTTAAGCAGAATTGATAAACTATTACCATTAAGGGCCTGAATTTATGGGAAAAGTCAGCATTTTGGTGGACTCAGGTTTGGGATAGAGTTGTGACTATGGTAGAAGAATACTTCCTCCTCATACTGATGTGGCAAGGCTTGGTCAGTCTTTTTCTTCACTTTGGCTTATTAATGAATCCCCTTTAAACTGCAGCAGTAGCACTTCCAATCTTGACCACTTCTGTCGGTTGGACATTAATTTAATTATTATCACGAATTACTTCTTTCAGATGTAGACCATACATGTATTTATATGGAACTTTCTTTGAACATTCCCATTTTACCATCATGTAATCTTAATATTGGTTAATAATATGACTAATATTGGCATTCTTTGGTTACTTTAGCAACCAAAATTGTTAAATGATGTCCAAGAAAGACTTACTTTATAGCAACATCTCTATTATACATGAGGAATAGTTAATATTAGAGTGAGGTTCCAGTAACACTTGTCCGCAAAACCTCCCCCCACCTCCAAACACACACACTTAAATACCTTTAAGACCTTTCTCCATAATTTGGAAATGGCTCCCTAACTGGTTGGTGTGATACAGGAATGAAGGAGTTGAAGATTGATATTCATACCCCCATTTAAAGGAGGGGAAATTGAGGCATGAAGCAGTTTAGTGACCTGGTAATGGTCAGGCAGATCATGGACACAGAGACAGAAAAGTTCCAGGGAAGTGTTTTAAAAAGTTTACTAGAAAAACAAGGCATATTTAATATTAATGAATAACCCAGTTACTATGCTGTTTGTTCTATCTTGGATCAAAATCATTTTCTCAGCTTTAAAGTCACCCTTTATTTGGAGGCTTAGAAGTAAGTCATCAGCATTCACAGCGGGGAGGAGGGATGCTCTATGATAAGTGATGGCAAAATCACATGAATAACGAGATGTGAGAAGTCATTTTAGTTGCTCATGACTTTCCTCAGACAAGGGCAAGTGGAAAACTTCGGAAGATACTTGTATTTTTTTCCTCCTTCTTCTAAATATAATAGAGTAAAAAAGTTTAACCAATATGCCTGATACAGGAAAACTGTAAAATTATTCGACATTACTGCCTTGATAGGTGACTAGTCATTCCAAATGGAGAGTGAAAAGGGCATTACTTAGTGAAACTTGAGGAATAGTGATGTGAAGAGAGTTTACATTTTAAAATTTGTTTTTAATATCTGACTAGGAGTGTTATCTAAGGCAAGTGTTTTCATTTTGTGTTTCAGAAAAGTGAAAGTATGCCTCTATTTCCCAAAGAATATATGTGGATATATTCGTGTTTGGGGGAAGGCTGTAATGACGTACAAATTAGAATTTTTTTTTTTTTGCAAGATGATAAAGTTTTCTTGGATGAAGGGTAACTATTCCATGAGTGAAGCAGAGTTTCCTCTTTCAAGGGTGAAGGTGACTTAAGACTCCTTTGGAATAACCTACAAGTAGAATTTTAAGGAAGCACAGGACTTCCTTTCTTCAGAGACAAAACAGTAGATTTTAGTTCTATAATGAAGCCGTGTCCCACCAGCAGCACATGGAGCTTATGTAAACTCAGTTCCAAAACTGGCAAAAAGAAAAGTATGATTTAGAAAACTATTTAAATTGTGGAACTTCAATTGTATAGTACTTCTTATGATATTTAAAAAAAATTTTATGTTACTGTATAGATTAGTAACTACACATCATATATATTGTACTTTTATCGGTTTGGGGGAAGATTTGCAAAGATATTTGATTACGCTCAATTTTTGCCTAATGAACTTACCTTAGAGCCTAACCCCTGCATAAGAAAAGACCATACTATAGTTTAACATATGTCTGAGATCACAACATAAGGTTTCTCCCTGCAAAGCTACCTTATTCCAGACAACTTATCTAGATCAGAGGGGCAGTTGCCTTAATCTGATTTTAATTTCAAATCAGGCTGTGAAACCTGATTAATGAAATTAATGAAATATTTAAGGTAATGCTTTTTGCATTTGCTGATTTCTCGTCACCTCTGTACAATTTGGATAGCTTTTGTTGAGGCATCATCAAATGCCTGAGATGAAAGAGAATTTAAGACCGTGGCTCACTGCCAGGGTCATTTGCTAAGCTGGCTATAGGGCTACCTTGCGTCCCTTGTTCATACTGAATCTCAGTGGGGTGATCATGGGAGAATCATTTGACCTGATGCTCAGGATTGGTCCTCACACTGATGATTGCCCAGTAACTACCCTTCTCTTGCTCTTTGCCTTGCACAGGTGGGGTTTTACCTGATAATAACACCCACCAGGCAGAATTTCTGCTGCAATAGACATTGTTTTGGGTTGCATTTTGTTGGCATTTTTTCTTCAAAGTGCAGTAAATAGGCACTCAAGAAAACACAGTGGGAACTTGGACTGCAGGGAGCCTGATAAACTTCAGCAAGGCAGGACCTGTTGTTCATGTTTATGTTTTTCTCATTTAATTTGGGAATTGGCATAGGAGGGGGCTCCGAGCCATTGCCTTTCTCAGGTAGAAGCAGGAGATATTCATGAATTTCTGTTTTCCTTCCTCTCTCCCCCTGACCCTTCAGATTTATGAGGAATCCAAGATGAATTTGGAGCAGGAGAGGCCGTTTGTCTGCAGTGCCCCAGGCTGCTCCCAGGTGAGTGTAGGGGGGTCCTCCACTCTGGCCTGCAGGGGATGCAGTACCTTCCCCACAGTGAGGCAACTCTCACTTGGCGGTCATGCCTGTTGTTGGCTTTTCTTCTTCACCAAGATATTCTCGAAGTCCCCCTCACCATCATCTTCACCGTCATCGTCACCATCATCCTCATCATTTTCCACTTTGACTAGTTTGAACTACTTCCCTCACAGCCTCTGAAATACATCAGTGTTGGCCATTTCCATCCATAACTTTCCCCTGGAAGCGAGCCAGCTGCATCCTGCCCACCAGATGTTCAGGATTGTTATTTCAGACAGGGGGAAAGAGGGTGCTCTTTTTGACAATAGCCACTTGAATTCTGGGCCTTTGGATTACTGGTGAAATAGCTCACCATCAGAGACTGAATTCGATTTTGTTTTGTTTTCCCGTTTGAGTAAAATAAACCCCCTATGACTCATCTAGAACCCATAGTTTTTCCATTTATCTAAACTTTGAGAGAGGAAGTTGGCCTGCTATGCTGGGTTAACCCTCTTTTAGCCTCTGATGGCTGCCATCAAGTGGGTTAGATGTGAGGCTTACATGAGGTACTGTGTGTGGAGTGTTTAGTAAAGGACCTGCACGTTGTGCTCAATTGACGCCCACTGTTGCTATGGTGACTTCTGCTACTATTGTACTAGAACCCATCCCTTTGAAAGAAACTGGAAACATACATCATCTAAAATCAGAATTTGACATTTTTCCTTTGGAACAGGATGGTGACTTTTTCTACACTTGACCCTTTGGATATCTCCAAGTTCCAGTCATTGGAAAATGACCACACATGGTGCTCTCATGCCAAGCTCTTCATTTTATGGGATAAAGGACAAGCTTAGAACTCAGAGCACAGGCATGTGGGTCGTTATGCTCTCTTTCTCTGAAGTGCCCAGTAGTTTCAGGTGGAATCAAGCCCCACGCTCTTGCCTGTTTATGTTGTGGGGTTGGCAGCACAGCGCAGAGCAATGTCTGGGAGTCAGTGAGAGGTGATGTCCATGAAGGACCCTTTTCATTGTATCTCCCCAGAGAGTTTGAGGAGGGTCCTGGAAGCTTCCTGGAGGGAATATGTCATGGAAACATGAAATGTTATTGCCTCGCGATGCCGCTGTTGACATCAGCCACCAGCTGAGAAACCAGCCTCCTTTGCTTGTGTTCTGGCAGATTCTCCAGGGGCTTTTATATGAATGTTGGTTTTTACCTAATAAATAAGGAAAGCAGTAGAGAATATTATTTTGAATTTCAACTATATTTTGGCAAGCTGGTTTTGGAGGTCCTTTTGAAATAGGAAACACTGGGAAGACACAGATAGGTTGAAGTACTGGGAGAAGTTCTGCTAGACCAGGACTCTCCATTGTGAATGCAGAAAATTGTCTTATCTAAGTTAAAACTGATTTCCACTTAGTTTCCTTAAGGGGGAGTCTCAATAGCCAGAAAGAATCCAATAACTTGAGCAGTTTGCTTTGCTTTGGCTGTAAAAATGTGACATTAAGTTTTATTCAATTTGAGTCACTCAGCACATTTTTGAGGGGCCTGCTCTGTGCATAAAACACATGTATCCCTGCCTTCACGGAACTTCTAGCCTAGGCATTACATGTGGAACCACATGAGCAATTCATCAATTAATTAATGAATTGCAATTTTCCATGAAGGAAGAGCACAGGTCACCCTGAAGACCATCCTAGGGGGATTTACTTTACTTGGGGAGGATAATGGGGGTGTCTCTGTGGAAGGGGCATTTAAGGGAAAGGGATCCTCAAGACACTTAGCAAAGGCCAGAGAGGGTTCATGGCAAGTTAGGGTTCCAGGAGAGTCCAGGATTGTGAATGATGGTAGAGGAGAGCCTTTAAGAAAGGGGTATTTAGCCGCATCCAGCATTTGGATAAGTCAGAGAGAAAAGAAGTGCACAGAGGACATTGGACTGTGTGGCAGAATTTCCCAAGCTTGGCACTACCAATATTTGGGGCTGAATAATTCTTTGTTGTGTATGTGTGTGGGGCTCCCCTGTGCATTATAGGATGCTTAGCAGCATCCCTGACCTCCATCTGTTAGATCCCAGTAGCGCTCCCCAGTTGCAAAAACCAGATTTCCAGGCATTACTAAATGTCCCCTTGGGGGCCAAATTGCCCCCGGTTGAGAGTGACTGCCCAGTGACTTGCATTTTGGCTTTAGCCTTGTTTCTTTTTGGATCCCTTCCCTTTTGGGAATCACCTACTTCTAAGTGATGCTCCCCCATTCTATTTTAGGTATTGCTCTAAGCCATCTTTTCTCCTTTTTGGAATCAGGCAGGGTATAAATAAATAAATGCTACAGACGTGTGGTCACTGGTGTCAGACGCTGCTAGAGCTGGCACAGCGAGAGGCCTGAGCAGGGGCTGTTGGGTTTGGCAGTTGGCTGTTTGCCGGCGACCTATGAGAGAGGAGTCGGGGTGGGGGCCAGATTGAGTGAGTGGGTAGTGAGGAAGTGGAGGTAGCCAGCATAGAGGAGCCTTTCAAGAGTGCTAGGGAGTGACGGGAAGCAGAGTGATATAATGGTAGCCTGAGAAGGAAGCAGCTTGAGAACAGGTTTTTTTTTTGTTTGTTTTGTTTTTTTTAACATCTTTATTGGAGTAAAATTGCTTCACAGTGGTGTGTTAGTTTCTGCTTTATAACAAAGTGAATCAGTTATACGTATACATATATCAAGTCAAGGCTCGCCAGGCTGGATTTAGTCAAGGGCAAGGAGGAGTGAGCATGCTGGCTTGAAGGACCACAGCTGGAGTGCCCTTCCCCAGACTACAGGGGTGTAGAGGATCCTGTGGAGCGGGGGGGTGCTCATTCCTCAGAGACAGGAGGGAATGGAAATAGGACCTATGAAGTTAATGTAAATTCTGAGATGGAGGTGATAATAAATGTTGAAGGGATGCATTTCAAATGACCTTGAACTTCAGTGAAGGAGCAGGTCATTTCCTTGAGAAGGCTGGGTGAACTGAGGAAAGGTTTGGAGAAACATGAGACTTGAGAATTTACATAGTTTCTTGGTTTTAAGGTAAAATTCCAAGCCTCTTCCTTCAACCCCCACTAAATTTAAATGTAAAGATATATCTAAAACTTGATGTCTCTATTTAATGTGGAAGTGTTTCTTTTTCTTGATAAGCTATTATAAAAACATGAGCATCTTTCAATTGAAGAGATGTGGTTGGCCAGTGATTCCAAGGGTCTCCTGGTGGGGTGTTAGGGAATCAGTCCATCATGGCATTTACTTGAGCGATGTTCCATAGCCTGGGACCTGCATGGAGAAGAAAGGATGGCTGGGAATTGGAAAGGGGAGTAAATATGAATTATCAGTGCTTGCGCTGTGTTGGAGGTGATGGATGGATTCCCCTCCCACCCCCTTTTTCCCTCATTGGAGAGAACCTTTGCTCTATTAGGAATGGCCTATAATACCTGGGAGGTTGTGTGTGTGTGTATGTGTATGTGTGTGTGTGTGTGTGTGTGTGTGTGTGTGTTACGGCTCCTTATAAGTTAGCTTTGTCCCAAAAGTGAGGAGAAACAAGCTTCTCTTGCTCTTTCTGATCTCACAAAGTCCAATGTTAATTTCACTGTTCCTTTGCCCTCTGCATTTACCTCGTTTTAAGTTCCAGTGGCCTCTCTCAGCTCTGTATCTATTGCAGACTGTACCTTTTGGTTATTTACAATTTGCTATTTTCCTACCAAATAAAAAAAAAATCACAGATATCCTGTATTGTCTTATTTGGAAGGTAATTATAATTAATATGAGATATCATGGAGATTATTAGTAGTATATAATAAGTATTCTTGTTTATATTCTATTTTAGGTTATTATTTTATGGAGCCAAAAATGGCTAACAAAATGACTGCAAATGAAGGCTATTCCCATGTTGTTTTTTGGTATATATTACAGAAAAGAATTATAATAAGGCTTTTGACAGAAAGACTAAGAAATTTAACCTCTGTGTCTAAGCCACATATGGTAGTGTCACTTATTTGATGCAGTCATTCTACTATAGTGTTATAGAGGACCAGATGATCCTGCAGGAAAAACCCACATGTCATGAAGACTTCTGTGTATTCAGAAATCTGGCATGATCACCATGTGTTGCAACTTCTGTACTCTCCAATTTATGTTATACAAATGACAAAGAAATAAGTGATATTTACTTGAAGAACTACTTTTAGAATATTCCAAAGGATTTAGCCCAGTGAATCCCCTCATTCCCGTGAATACAAATTATACTGTTTGCAGAAAAGATTTCTACCTTAATATACAATGGTAATTGAAATTTATAATGGCTATCCTGAGGAGCTGGGACGCTCTGAGAGATTTTCTAGATTGTCAAAGATTTGGAAATATTCAGCAGACTTTATTGTCTTTTGTTGAATTCTCATTTGACTTTGATAAAGCAGATACCCTGTTAAGTTCAGTTATTAAAACATACCAGTCTGAGTCAGGATAGGCTGGGATCTGCTACAATAACAAATGAGTTCAAAGCTTCAATGACTTGACACAACAAAGGCTTATTTCAGTTGCCCAAGCATACATTTCAGTTATAGATTGGCAGGATATTTTTCATAATCCTTCAGAATTCAGAGATGCTCTTCATAATTCTTCAGAGATTTGGGATGATTGAGGGGCCACTATTTCTTGTATTGTGAATCTCTTTGCTAAAAGGGAGAGGGTCTTGCCCCAAGAAATAGATGCTCACATCTGGATGACATGTCACTTCCATTCATGACTCAATGGGTAGAACTACTCACATGGCCCCACCCAACCACAAGAGGGCCAGGAAATCCAATTCCACCATATGACCAGAAGCCAGACAGCTGAAAATATTTGGGCGCAGCATTTTTGACAACCATAATATCATTCCCTGAAAATTAAAAATAAAGTGTTGGTTTACTACACTGCATGGAGTATAGAACACTCAAAATAATTTGCTGTGTAACTATACATCATATGTATAATTATAATTAATGAGATAATCAGTGTGCAAGGTCTTCATAAACAGAAACATACTATGCAAATGTCATGGGGTACATCTGTAGATATATATGGCAAATAATTAAGCGTGACGTGTAGTTCTTTTCCAAAGTTTGACGTGAATGCATATGTGGTTGTGTAAGATAATTTGTCATTTTACTTACCATGCTTTCACACTTTTTCAGAACTAATTTTTTGTTTTCCTTGTCACGTTTGCAGTGCTGAATGTATCTTTTTCTCTGTGATGGTGAAATATATATTACAAAACTGAATGGCTCCTCTCCCCTGTCCCTTTTTTTCTATTTGTTTGACAGCGCTTCCCAACAGAGGACCATCTGATGATTCATAGGCACAAGCATGAAATGACTTTGAAGTTTCCCTCAATAAAAACAGACAATATGTTATCAGGTAAGGAGCCATCAGGCAAAGACACTTTGGGTGATCAGATCAGCCTCATGTGAGACACTTGTTCTACAGAATAGGATGATTTCCACTGGCAAATTCTACACCTTGAAAATCTATATTTCTAAAGTATAGCTGAGGCTTAAAATAATGGTAAGCAGGAATGTAATCCGCTAATGTAGTGTTCACTCAAATAATCGGAGAGCTATGACTTCTTGTTTTCTGGAATGTGAAATATTTATTACTATGAAACTTGGCTCCGTGTAAGGCTTTTTTAACGTCACATACCTGTAATTACTCAAGCAACAGATGTTAATTGAGCATCTGTAATGCACACTGCACTGTTGTGACTGCCGTGGAGGCGCGAAGATTAATATGATTACTGTTTTCGAGGACATCACAATGTGTGTGTGAAAACTTAGCTAAAATAGAGGACTGTCCATGATATATATCAAATGAGCATTGTAAGGAAAAATGCTGTGTGGCTTTAGCAGAAGGAGCTCTCTTTCTGGACTGAGCTGGTCAGTGAAGATTTCCTTAAGAAATAGTACCTGCTTCAGAATTGGGAAATTAAATAAGATAATGTGTGGAAATACAAGTGCTCAGCAAATGTGATCATAAATAAATAATAATGATAATCCATCAATTAATTTCCATTCTCTCCCATCTTGAGAGGTAGTGTGGTAAATTAGAAAGAGCGCAAGGAGTAAGGAAACTTGAACTCTAGCCTGGCCAGATGACCTTGAGCAAGTTGGTAAACACTTCTGGGCTTCAGTTTCTTTTTCCATTAAATGGGAATGATTTTATCTGCCCAGTCTATTTCACAGGCTTATTGTGATCCAATGAAAGCATGTAAGTGCAAGAGTTTCATAAACCCTAGCAGGGCAATTGAAGCATTTCCTGTTGGCCTTCTCAGGCTAGAAATATTTCACTCAAGCCGCTGTCTCCCTGGCATCGTGAAAGAAATAATACGCCCATGAACATGTTTTAAATGATATCAGAAGAGAAACTGACTGCACAGGCAAAACTGGCTCGTATAATTGAGCATTTCTATGGCAGTTAAATTTTACAAGTATTTTTTTTTTGCTGTACACGGGCCTCTCACTGTTGTGGCCTCTCCCGTTGCGGAGCACAGGCTCAGGACGCGCAGGCTCAGCGGCCATGGCTCACGGGCCCAGCCGCTCCGCGGCACGTGGGATCTTCCCGGACCGGGGTCCGAACCCGCATCCCCTGCATCGGCAGGCGGACTCTCAACCACTGCGCCACCAGGGAAGCCCTACAAGTATTTTATTATCGCTCTTATTAGTAAATACCCTAAGAGTTTTTTCAGACAGGTTATTATTACAACCCACATTTTACAGATAGAGATGAAGGAGCGTGGGAGAGGGAGCAACTTTCCCAAACTCACCAACAGGGCAAAAAAATAGGGCCCTTGATCCTGCAGTCCTAACCCTCTGACTTGCACCAGCTACTGCTTTGTCAGGCTTCATCAGTTTATATATATGATCAAATACTCCCGGTGACGGGACTGTCCACAGGTCTTCACCATCTGGCCCGTGACTCGTTCGTGGTACAGATGGGCTGTGATTTGCAAGACTCTCGTGTTCAAAGGCAGCTTCTTCCCTTCCCTCCTCTACCACCTCTCTCTCAGCCTGTTTGTTTTTATTGAACTAGATGGCTCTTCAGAAATAACTTTGTCTTTCCTTAAGTCTAGAAACAGAGATGCAGAAACTCAAATTTCTAAGAATTACGAAAGCCTAGAAGGGTTAGGAAGGGTGTTTTGTTCTTTTGTTTTTATCATTTATTACGTTCTATAGAGTCACACGTGGTGTAACCTTATAGTTTAACGATGAACATGTATAGGAAAGTAGCAAGGCTCTAGACTGTGGAATTCCCAATATTTCAAGTAATAAGTTCATCCTTTATTTCTCCCAAACAGGATCCCTAAAATAGGCTGCCTGGGGGTAGGGAAGTGGGAGGTGAGTGTGAAGGAGTGGTGATTATGTAGCGATATGATCACTATAGAGGTAAGTACCAGCATAGTATCTCTCAGGTAGACTGCTGGGATGGCCCTACAGGGAGCCCCATCCAAAGGTCTGAAAAAAAGTAGCTAAAGATGTGGGAACGTTTCTATAGATTTCCTATAGGTTTTTGATGAAACTCTTGAAGCTTTTCAGTAGTTCTTACCAGATTCTTATTAATTTGTTATGTCAAACTCAGAATAAGAAAATGAAGGAAAAACAGCATGAATAATATAAGGGCATACTTTATTTTGCTTTCTCAGGTTTTATATTGAAGCTGGTATGAGGCCATTTCATACTCCCAATGAAATTAAGTGCTAAATTTTTTTAAACCATTTTTTAATTGAAGGATAGTTGATTTACAGTGTTGTGCTGATTTCTGCTGTGCAGCAGAGGGACCCAGTTATACACAGATATACATTCTTTTAAAAAAATATTCTTTTCCATTATGGTTTATCCCAGGAGATTGGATATATTTCCCTGTGCTAAATTTTTAAACTTGCTACCCACTCTGCATGTTTGTAGTCTCGTAGAAATTTCTTGCTGGAACAGAATACAGAGCTATCCAGTCCAGCTCCAGAGGCTGAGGTGTCAACTACATGTCATATGCCAATGTTGTCCACACTGAATTGTAATATGCTATTTACTGAGTATTTGTGCTTTGCATTTTTTTTCCAGGAAAGTCTTTAAAATATATTTATCTCAAACATCATTTCAGTTTTAGCATATTAGATTGTGATTGTCAGTATGACTGAAGTTTTATTTGTCTGTATCTTAATTTACTCAGATTTGAATTTATCAAAAGCTTCAGAATCTGCTTTTATTAAAAATATGTTCATTAGAATTTTATTTCTTAATGTACCTTAAACCTATTTTGTGACCTCTCATGAAGATGAATAATTTTGTACAGCTCAAAATATAGTAACAATAAAAATAAAAATAGTATAAATCAAATCTTAAATCAGAAAGCCTCATCAGGGCAAAAATGTTCAAGGCTATTATTTTTTTTCAAGCAATATTTGGGCTATTTTTTTAAAGCAATATTCAGTTACCCAAAATTTCATTTCAGATGAATTGGTGTTTAACATATATTAAGGAGATAAAGTATAGTAGGTATGTTTATTACTAATTTCAGGGTGTCTAGCTAACCTAAATTTTGGAAAATCACTTCATCCTTCTTTAATTGCAAATATTATAGTTAGGGAAGTTATTAAGATATCACACATATACATTTGAAGGGTAAATGTCCAAAGAGTTGTAAGATCTGAAATAATTTTATAGCTTTGCCATAAAGTCCATTTTATTTAAGCCAGGTAGAATTTATTACTCAAAATGACTGTAAATGATCTTTTTTTTTTTTTTGTAAATAATCTTTGACATGCCACAAAGCAGGATAATAAAAGTGATGGTCATGGTGTTTTATTAACATTAGTCTGCTCTTACTGATAGACAGTAAACATAAAACCTCTCCTTCTAAAGGGACAGTACATGTCCCTAGTAAGGACATGAATAGGGGTGGTGGTGTTGGATTCTGAGGGCAAAGACTTCCATTCCCTCCCACCTTGGTCCTTCCATCCTTATTTGGGCTCTGTGGTACATTTCCAGTGTCCTGATGTGACGAGGGGCATGAACCTTTCCCTTCAACTATTCTCCGTCTGATAGAAGATAATTTCATGGTGAGGGAAGTTGTGATAGCAAAGGTTTTTAGGTGCCAGTTTTGAAATGAGAATCCATTGAAGACAGTATACGTCCACATACAGGTTGCAAAATTACCAGCTACCACATGACACCAGATCTGTTTGGCTTGCAAATTATGATCAAATTTCAGTATTAGAGACAAAGAGGATGGTGTTTGGGTCTATTTTAATGGTATTATGTCTAGGTATCCAGAAATTCCTAAGTCTTGCCCTATCAAACATCCCCACCCCCACTTCTTTACAGGGTTCCCAGGGTCTGTACAGGAAAAAAAAACAAAACAAAACAGAATAGGAATCAAAGTACAACTTTGTAGTTGAACAAATAATAAGCAAATAATATACTAAATGAGAACTCTGTGTGTGTATGTTGTGTGTTGGGGGAATACGGTAGAAATATTGACGTAGAAGATGACTGATTTTGCTTCATGAAAGGGAAGATGAAGTTCAAGAGTACTGCAAGCCTTTCCCAAAAGATAAAACCTGATCCACACTCAGGTGGGAAACCTGAGAAAGAGACAGGGGACCATGCCTTTAAATGCCTAGTCAGTTCCCTCACCAGACATCACAGCCCGATTAATGCTGCAGGCAACTGGGCTGTGCTTGGAGAGAAGTTAGGACAGGCACCAGCTGAGGTGTGGGAAGAGGGTCTGAAGTTGCCCCTTCATCACCATTCATTTAGTCAACAAACATTTAATGAGGGCCTGCAAGGATCCTATTGTGCTGGGTGCTGGGGATGTGGCATTGAACCAGACAGATGAGTTCCCTCTTCTATGGAACTGATTATATGCTGTTGGGGGTAGGGAGAAAGAGAGATAATAGACAAAAAACCCAAAAACCAAACAAAACCAAAAATCCCCAGATAAATAAACAAGAAAATATCAGTTAGGGAGAAGTGCTCCGATGAAGATAAAACATGATAATGTGACATCAGCGGCCAGCAGGCTCCCCAAGGGAGGTCAGGACAGGCCTCTTCTAGATTAGTGGCATTTCAGCCAAGACCTGATGTTCAGCACTCCAGGCTCAGGGGTTCTTTCTCCCTGACCTCTGAATATGGTGGGGCTGGAAGTGGTAAAACCCCAAGACCAGATGCAGTGCAGCTGACTGTATCTTGCGCTGACACATGGAAGAGAGGCAAGAGAGACCGGCTTCCTCATCCCATCTTCCTTATCACCGTCTGATGCAGAGCATCTAATATAAATGACAGTATAGTCCTTCAGAACCCAACTGAGACCCGGATTAGGTCTAGAAGTAGGGCCTATCTCTAATTCCAGACTCTAAACCTAATACT